AGATTTATCTGTAAAATTGTCAACAAAAGAACATGAAGATTCATCTGTAAAATCATCAAAAGACTATGAGGATTCATACATCATAAAACCTTCAATGGATCGTGAGAACTCAAATTTAAAATCTTCAAAAGATCATGAGAAATCTCAAGAAATTGTTATGAATAATAATATATCTTTAACTGAACAACTATCGCAAGTTGCATCTCCTAATCACAAATCGAACTCTGAAAAAGTAATAACGGTCGAACAAGTAATACCACTTGAAAAAATGTCACCTATCAAACCAAAAAATCATACATGATGATTTTAATGACGAACCAGGTATTCAGATCAAACAAGAGCTAAACGATAACATAATGATGATTGATGAGAAAGAAAAAAATTCTTTGCCAGAAAAAATCAAACGACCCAGAAGATCGAATCGAGAAACATATGCATATTTAAATATGTTGCCTAAACGACGTACTAGACAACAATCACAATCTGAATGGAGGTTTCCACATAATAATTTCTTACCTCAAGTCTCTCGACAATCATCACAACCAAAACGTCGAAAGCTTGAAAAGCCATTGGAACATGAAAAATCATTGGAACATAAAAAACCAATGGAATATGAAATACCTGTAATATCAAAACCAATCGAACCCGAAGTTTTACCACTGCATCAATCTGAAGTTTTACCACTGCATCAATCTGAAGTTTTACCACTGCATCAATCTGAAGTTTCACCACTGCAACAATCTGAAGATCAAGTAACGACAATGGTATCATGCGAAAGAGATCCATACAAACCAAGAAACCTCGATATACAAAATGTAACTACTAGGCGATCTGTTCGTCAAGCCAATAAAAAAGAAAGTGTAATATCCTCAAATGATAATGAAAAAGTGAACATTAAACGAGAAAAGGTGTATATTAAAAAAGAATTTGAAAATGGGCAAAATTTAATGATGATTGAAGAAAGAGCAGTTAATGAATGTCTAACGGAAGTAGATCAACTAGTCGAACAAGAATCTGATGAACAAGTAATACCTTTATTCTTAACGGAACAA